GGGGGGGGGGGGGGGGGGAACCCACCCTCTTGCAAAGTTTTTTCAAGTACAGATAAGCATCTTTTGGTATGAAGTAACATTGCTCTTGCTCTGTGGTGTGCTATAGAACTCAGCTAGGTAATGTGGTTATCTAAACATCTGACCACCGTAATTCTGGTAAATTTTGGTAATTCTGTCTTTCTCCCTGAAGAGAGAGAAGACAACTCTGTACTCATTATGCTGCACACTCTCTGGCCTGCAGATGACATGCTGTCAAGTAACTGTTAATAGTCGTGCACAAGCCACATGCCATTAGCTTTTAATTATTCACTTAGCCTTCAGAAGTACCTGTCTTGTGTGTTGAGGCAGCCAGTGGGAGGGAACCACCTCTTGCAGTGTAAGCTGTAGGACAGGGTTCAGAAGAGCTGCTCCCGCACTCTTGGCTCTCTGCTGTTGGGGAATTCACAGCCCACGAGCTGGCATTGTCTTGCTTGGGCTGGAGAGGATGGGCCACATCAAGCTTGCAGTGGCTTGGAGGACTTCAGGCAAGTTGAAGGTGACTTGCTTTTTTTTGCAAAGGAGATTTTTGCTGGCAAGCTTCATGGGCCTGACCTTAACTTCCCAAATTTTGCCTTGGGGGCAGAAGGCAGTGGGATGGTTTTCCCTTGGGCAGAGGCCAGGCCACTCAAAACAGCAGATGAGAGATGCAGGAGGGATTGTTAATCCCCATTGAGAGCCCAGTCTTCTTGCCAGAGGGAGGAAACAAGTCTACTAGAGCCTCAGTTTCCATAGTGTTATTTAAGAAGTGACCAGGCAACTTTTGGCAGTCCTGGCTGTGGCTGTGCCTGGGGCTGTAGGGTTCTTCATAACACCTGCCTTTTGCCTTTTGTCTTTTCTACCTCCCTCTATATCTCCGTGCCTGTCCTGGGCTCCCAATCCTTTCCTTGTCTCTCCTTCCAAATCAGTTTCCCACACCCCCCATCAATTTAGCAACAACTAGAAGAATGCTGATGTCCAGTGAGAAAAGGTGGTGCCACACTGCCAACTCACAGTTTGTGTACTGAGAGGTGTGCCTGAGAGATACAGTGCAGACTGGTGTGACGCACTGGCATGAAATGACGATTATGGATCCTGCGCGACTTTGAGATAGCAGTTTAAGATTTGTTAGCACTGTTGCAGTAAATAACAAGATTAGGATGTACAATTTTTAACAATACTTAATCATCATCATAAGCAATTTAATAAAATTTGCTATAATCAACACAGAGACTTAGTTAAAGATTCAAAAATGGCAAGGTTCACCCGAGATTTATGACAAAGTTTCCTAAATAAAATTATACACACACACACACACACACACACAGATACAGAGGTTAACCTAGTTCAAGATATTTCTCTCTTTGTAAACAGTAGTAAATTACTGGTGCCAAATGATCTTTGAAACCTTGCAAAATCTGATTGTAGTGGATGACTCGCTACTCTCCTTCATCTGTGTTTGTCAGCAGATGCTCTTTGAACCCTTCTTCATCGGCATCTATCAGCAGACAATCTTGGAAGTACTTGCAAAAATCTACTCTTCAAAATCCTTGTGAAATCTACCCTGAGAAGTGTTCCAACTTGGGGGAGGTGCTGGGTCACAGCCTGCTGCCATCCTGGAGAGCTCAGATCTCACTTAAGATTGCTATTTATAGGATTGTGAGATGATTGACTTTGGTCAGTATTATTCCATTTTGGCCACAATTCTTGTTATGTGATGCTGGTGCCTTCAAGAGCAGGCTACGATCCAGGCAGCAGGAGTTTCAGGTACAGTTAGGGAGTGCCTGATCATCCCAGCTCCCTGCACTTGTAACCAGTACAAGAAAGTACCAGATTGTCCCAAGTCCCTGCACCTGTAACCACAAGAAGAGAATGTTGCCTGGTCCTGACATGGCCACGTGACCCAGGGTTCTCACCACCACGTTCCACCCCATGACCAAAGTCAATCTACATTTTCCACAGAGTGGTGGTGTGGTCACCTCTTGCCTCTGTGCCTATAAATGCCACATGTATTTGTAATTTGAGTGTAGATTTCTGTTGGGTTAACCTCTATTAAAGAAGCATATATATTATTTCATCAAATGGGATTAAAAACCATTATATATGCAGAGAACTTCTTGTAATAGCGTAACTTGTTTTGTCATCTTCCAAACCTGATATATGGAGTGATGCTCAATAACAAATACAGTATAACAAGAGTCAGCAGGACCATCATGGGGTGTAACATCAGATTTAGTTTCCCAGTTACCATTGGAGATGTTTCAAAGAAGGTTTTCCCACCAGTAATGTTCTCCATCTTTCTTCACTCTTTCTAAGATACGGTGTATTTCTTCTGCATCATGATGGATGATAATCAGGGTTTTCTATCTGTTATTCCAAATTTATTTTAGCAATTGGTTCAGGTCATCACATTGTAATAGTTTTCTTATCAATGTGAGATTCATTCCAATAGGGGTAGGTAATAAATCTTGATACAATGTGTATAATTAAAGTCACATCCTACAGTTTTGGTAAAATTACAAATACAGATATTTGAGTGATTATTTGTTTCTGCAGTGGTGTTTTCTATAAATACAGAATTACAAAGGATTCTTATACAGACACATCCATTTCCCATACATACTAGTACAGTTTCAGGGGTTTCATCAGGGTGTATTCCAAGATGACAAGTATTTTGTTCAGTGTCAAGACAAATGTCTTGGGTCTTAATGGTATTACTGTCACAAATAAATCCTTGTTTGTTCCCGTATAACACATGCATCAATATCAGTAGTTTGCTGTTTGTTCCCATTTTGCTGGGCCCATGTTCCTTGTTCTACGGGATGGAATACAGTTCCATGGTGATTTAATCCCAGCCCAGTGATGGGGTATATGGTGTATAATGAAGCATTGTGTATTCTCAAAACAAAAGCTGTGGCTTTACTGTCCATGGGGCCATACAACTGGACGCCACCAGGATGGAATTCCCTTTCCAATTTAGTTGTATTATCCCACATTACCTTTTGAATTTCAGTGGGTAAGGTGCCCCCTTCACCTTCTCTTACAATTGCTGCCACAGTAGATTTTACAAACAGTTGAGACTGAATGCAGCTAAGAGCAAGAGAGGTATTAATTTGGGTTGCACCTAGTACATTCACAGTTACTTGATGTTTTTTTTCATTAATTCTTTCCCATTGGGGTAATGTATCAGATAGGAGCCATTGATTAGTTCCCAGTGCTGATAGACAAGATTGTAATGGACGTTCTGATTTGCGTAAATTACTTGTTGCTGAGCATATTTTGTTTGCTAAAACTTCAGCATCATGCTGTTTAATACCCCTAATCTTGTTCCTAGAATGCCAGTCACATCCTTTCTTGATTATTTTGGAGAGGTGAGGGTTTGCCCATGCAACCACACTGACAATGTTGTGTGCGACGCATTCAGGAATGGTGAGCAGGTAGGCTTAATTGCAGAGATACTAACCTGCATTGATAGTTCCACTTGTTTGAGGGACCATGAGGGGTTCAACAATATTGATTTTGATTACATACGGTCCCCTTTCAAAAATCCATGGGGATAGAAGGTTTTTTTGTCCTTTGTAATTGCTGTGGATGTTAAGTGAGGAGTGGTAGGTGGTGTTGTGCTAGGCTTAATAATGTCTATTTTAAATCTAAATGATAGTTCCACATTATGGTGAGCCCACATGCAGATTGTAATAACAGGTTGTATTAAGGTAAAACTGTGCCAACAGCTTAATTTTCTTTCGGTGGCACAAAGTGCTGAATCCCAGTCTGCTGTTGGGTTTGATGTAAGGTTGTACACAGAAATCTCATGTGCCTTTTCATAGCTGGACCTGTTGGTCATTCGGTACCATATTTTAATTTCTTCCCCTACTGTTGCCCAAAGTAGGGAAACTTTGCCATAAGCTTCATCTTCATACCAGCTCCACTCATTTTCTAGGTATGTGTTATTTTTGTTCGTGTCCACAATGGAAAGATTTAGGTTTCCCTTCCCAGAGAGTGTTCCCATGGTTCTGGTATAATGAATATGAGCTTGAGACTGTCGCCATTCTGGGGTTTTCTCAGTAAGACTCCTTAGTAAAACTGGGGGAGTATTCAAAGTAGTCACTGATCTAGTTGTGATAGGTTTAGTGATTTTGAGAGATACTGTTCCTAATCTTCTGTTTCATCTCTCTGGAGTGTTCCATATATGTATTTTAACTTCAGAATGTCCCTTCACTATGTCATGTATTTAACAGTGATTCATGTTACAGCATTTCCTGTATGGTGTGTAAGAGTTCTTGTAAATAATCCTACTACGTGCACAGCCTTCAGTAACAGGTAGTTGTATTTTACAGGTCACGTTTATGCTATTGTCTGTTAATAACAAAAGGGGTGGTTTTCTGTATTAAGACAATTGTGGCTGATTCCTCGATTTAATGATCAAGTTGAGACAGGTGGGGAAGCAAGTATTATCAAAATCTTCAACAGCAGTAGGGTGATGTTTCTTATTTTAATTTTTAGGTAAGCTGGAAGACAAAAAGGTGGGATAGACTGGTCTTGGTGGGGTTTTCCAGACAGGTTACCCCATTAGAAAAAAGGAAAAGTTCACTGTGCACTAATTTTGTGTTTTGCACCACTGCTATTGGTAGCCTCCCATGCAAGTGTGCCACTAGGTTTAGTTAGACTCATGGTACAGTACCAATGGATGGTAGATCAACCGTTACAGTTTCTCCTGGCTGTAATGTTGGTGGATGTTCCCTTTTCCCAGAAGGTGGAGTCCTAAGCTCGGTTTTTGCAAAGAATGCTCCATTGTAGGGCTTCCAGTGGGCCCACACTGAGTGTCCCACAGGGCCTCACGTGGCTTAAGGCTCTTTTGCAATAGGCCATCAGCCCTTTCCACCATCCCATTTGCTTGAGGATAACGGGGGCATGAAATACCCGTTGACTTTCTTCCTGCTTTGCTCACACTTGCACCTCTCTAGAGAAGTGCCTGCAAGTCGTTATCACTTTGGATGACATCAGGAGTAGGTGTACTTGAGAACCAAGGTGATACCCCTTGTACAGTATTTCGTCCATTGGCCTTCTGGCACTTAGTTGCCATAAGCACACCAGAGTCCCACTCCTGTGAGGATGTATTGATATCCTGCAGAGGGTTTGAATGGCCCGATATAATCAATTGCCATGTAGACCATAAAGTTTTCCTTTCACTGATGTGTAGAGGTAGTGCTTTAGCAGGGTGATGTGTTTGCAGTTTCAGTTTACATTAGGGGCGTTCTGTCAGGATGATTTCATGTGTTTAGAGGACGACCTCAGCTTTGGGCTGCAAAAATAAAGTGCTTCTCAGCCTGTGCATCCTAATTTTTGATGTAACCATTCCCCTAGTTGGTACCTTTCAGCATCTGATGTATCTCCCTATTTCATTTCCCCAATTCTGACTAATTCATCTATTCATTGGTTCCAGTTTGTGGCTGGCTTATTGTCTTTGGTGTGAGGTTCCAACCATCCCATCTTGAAGGGTGTTTCTCTGGCTATGTTCAGCAGTAGTTGCCAATCCTTGGTTCTCCAGACTGGGGATCTATTTACTTCCCAATTTAGAGCTTCCCATTGACAGAGCCATTGTGTAGCACCTGCCCATATGGCATAGGATTGACAGAGATAAACTTTTGCTCCATTTTGTGCTGCTGAACCAACTGCCCTTAATTCTCCTACTTGTACACTACCTTCACCTTCTTCTATTACTTGTTTGCTAGTGTTAATTTCTAATGCAGCAGACTTGTATTGCCATTTACCAAATATTCTTTTTCCTGTGGTGTCAGAAAACCAAATGCCCTCTGTTGATGTTCTCTCAGTGAGGGGAGGTGTATCTAGAACTGGTGAAGGTTTAAATAGTTGGTTTAGTGCTGGTGGGTCGGTGTTTATAGGCATTTGAAATTTGGAAATTTTTGTTTGACTTTCATTCAGTTGCATTTCATCTGCTATTCCCACCAGGTAGGCACACCATTGCCCAGTGGTGGCTTTTTGTGCAGTTCCCTCTGAGGGAGTGGTTCCTTTTAGGAACGTTTCTAGCAAATGAAATGGCCCTCTAGTCTGAACAGGTTGTCTCTGGTGTATTTTCTCAACTTGTTTAACTGCTCAGATTAAAGACAAAAGTCCCTTTTCCCATTCGGAGTATCTCTGTTCTGTTTCTTTAAATGCAGCTGAATAATAAAGGTCTCTTTGATCTGTCAGGGCCAGTTTGAAGTAGATTGCAATACCCCATTCTGTTGTATTAGGATCACAGGGGTGACTTGGCCCCAGGGACTGATAATGTCTTTAATTCCCGTATTAAGGTTTTGACTGCCTCTTCATATTCCAGGTCCCATTTCCACAGTCTTACCTTTCGTAAAAATGAATACAGTGGGTGAGCAATGATAGAAAGTCCAGGTGCATGCTTCCTCCAGTACCCTAAAGTATGAGCTTTTATAATTCTTTTCTAGATGGGGGTGACTGCAATTGTTCTGTTTTCCTTAGGGTGTCAGTGGAATTGCTGTACTACCTGCAATCCATCAAGTCCCTGAAAATTTTACTTCTTTACCCGGTTCTTGACATTTCTGGTGTGGGATCTCAATTTCTACTTTGTGTAGAGCTTGTTGTACTGCTTGCTGTTGCTTCGCCCACCCTCTCAGGGGAAGTCCCTCCAATTAGAATGTTATCTACATATTGGTACAGTTTCACAGCTTGAGGGTGTTCCTTTCACTTTGCAATGAGGTAAGGTGTAAGCACAGCCAGGGCTCCTCCAATTAATGGTTCCAGTATGGCCAAGCCTGTGGTGGTTGAGATTGGAACATCATGTGGAGCATGTTCGTGCGTGGCCTGTATACAGGCAGCCTTTGTCACTGCAACTGAAGGTTCGTGTAGGGATTTTATGGGTAGGATAGATGGTTCTCCTCTCCCTAGCTCATCTGTTCCTCCAGCTCCATATGCCACTCCACTCATTGCTGAATGGGAGTCTTCCAGGGGGTCAGGACCAGCATTTAAAAAGACACCTGGTGCCTAATATCCATTTGATTCATCCCCATTTAATAACATTCTGTCCCCTTGGATAAGCACACACACCACAAATACTCTGTTTCAGTTTCTCAGGGTTTACAACCATAACATTGGTGTAAATTGGCCATTTGAATTGGATCAAATGGGATTTTTTTCTAGTGCGATCTCCTGCTCCACCCTGTGGTCTGGTAGTTTCTTCTGGTTTTATAATTGGTCTAGTGGTATATTGGAGAGGCTCAGGCAGGTGCAGGGGGTTATCTTCATCTGAGCTCTTTTTATTTGAATCATCCCAATTTTCAGGAGTTATTACTAGTTTCCTGGTCTGAACTATGTTGGGAGGGTTTGGAGCTTACATTAACATCATTCCAACACGTTCTCCTAACTTCTGTGCTTTTAAATGAGTGTCCTGAAGTTGGTTTTGCAGTTATTCTGTTCTTAAAGGTAGTAACATTTCAGTAGCTTTACATCCCTCTATTTCATCTTGCATATCTTTAATCTTACTATTTGTTTCTTTCCTTGTATGCCACTATTAAACGTGTCCCTAGCATTTTACAAATTATACCTTTATCTGTTATATCCTTGGTCCAAACCCCTTGCATCATTCACCTGCTTTCCATTCATGCCAGTAATCATGGATCCATTCTCCTGAAAAGCCAGGATTTGGATTAATACCATGGTTTTGTAAGTAGCTGGTGATGCTACTTGCTATTCTGCCACCTACACAAGACCAAACTGCTGATGGATGTCTGTGAGGCTGGCTGAAGAGCCAGCTTGGCTGGTTTCGGTGCAGAACCAGTCAGACAGCCTGTAAGCTGGCCTCTGGTTGACGTGGCTTCAGACACCAGGCAGTTTGTCTTCTTTAAATGAAGGTGCATCCTCCAGCTGAAGCCCTGCCAAGCAGGGGAGGAGTCATGTGCCCTGTGCCACACAGCATGGAGAAGAGGCCTGTGGCTTGGGGAACTGCCATCCAGCCCCTCCGCTACTGCAGAGAAAACACGTTTTGGGCCATGTGTCACCCAACAGGCCATGCACATCCTTATGGAGGTGTCCCAGGGACTGCAGAGGATTAAATCGCCCACTTTACTTTCATGGGGAATACTCCATCCAGGGAGAACAAAGCAACCCTGAGAACTAAAGTACTCCTTCTCCTCTTTCAGGCTCGATGACTGCAATCTCTCCAGGAGTAACTGTGAGGATCTCTGCTCTGTCATCAGTACGAATCCGTCCCTCACAGAGCTGAAGCTGAACAACAACGAACTGGGAGATGCGGGTGCTGAATGCCTGTGTAAAGGGTTGCTGATGCCAAGCTGCAGCCTACAGACGTTATGGTAAAGCCTCACCTATTGTTTTGCTCTAACACGTTTGCAGTCTGCTGCAGGTGAAGTCATGAGACAAACTAGTATGTGATGGTAGTAAGAGTCATGCCGATGTATCTCAGCAATCACCTAGGTCACATGGTTGGAAAAGCCCAGAAGTTTTATCTAAGTGGTGTGTTTATTGGAAGACTCCAGATCTTCAGTCTGTCTTCCTTTGTCTTCCAGCACTGAGGGGGACAGATAGAGTTTTCCCAGCCAAGCAGAGGCTTTCTGGAGACTTTCTTTAGAAGAGGTAGCAGATCTTCCCCTGGCCTAGTCAGCTGGATTATCTGTTTAGGCAGTTTAAACAAAAGGCCAACCACAGAAGGCCCCACTCATTAGCACAAACCTGACGTTTTCACAAATGCATTTTCCAGAGGGCTCTTCTGCCAGTTGGAAGCACAGTGTTTAGTGTCTGGTCCAGTTTGCCCACTTCTTTAGGAGCCAAGCAAAAGGGTGCTCTCCTGAGCCTTGGCATTTCAAGAGCTGTCAGTCTTTCTGCACCCTACCAGACTGGCTCTGCTTCCAGCCTTGGCTTCTCAGTTGGGCAGGGCCAGCTTGGTTCAACACAGCATGTTTGGCAGAGGCACCACATTATAGTATTAGTGGGCTTCCCTCAGCAACATGGTGCAGGAGATTTAGTCAAAGCCAGTTGGTTGCTGCCCCTGCTCTTTCCATGACCCTCAAAGACATGCTGCCTTCTCTGTCCAGCACCTCTTCTACAGGGTACTGGAGTGCTCCAGCTCCTGAGGTGGGTCTAGGATCTTCATGACACTGCCTTGTAAAAATAGGTCAGATATGCCCGCTTCAGAGTCCCTGTGTTCCCTGCAGTGAGGATACACAAGTAGAGGGAGAGTTGACAGTGAAGCTAATCAAACTGCAACTCTCTGTTGGGCCTTCTAGGAAATAACTGTGATACTCAATAGTGCAAGACTAATGCAATTTTTCAGAAATTTTGTCTTAAGCCTCAAACTTCTCTAGCCTGGATTAGGCTGTTCCAGTTTCATAGAAACATAATTGTACATTTTGGCATTCTAGTAAGGTGTCTTAGGGAATAAAAGAGCAACCAAACCCAAGTTAAATTTAGTACCACCATGCACAATTCCTCTGTGTTGCAAGAAGGTCTTGTCCAGTAACTCTAAACACACCATAGCAATACCAGCACGGGTCATATGCTGCTTCTCCCAGACTGAGTGCTGAAGGATCAGCTTCACAGATCCTTCTTGTAGTATACCATTGAACTTCTAAATGATATCCATGTATTTAAGCCAAGTTGGACAGGATTGTTGGCTGCTCTGGATCACGTTTCCAGAGGGGACAAGAAATCATAAGATGCCATTGCTTTATCTCTGGGATAAGCCTCATGATGGCTGAAACACTTCTATAAAGCAGGTGCAGAGCTGCTTAATGTAGGGTGGGTCCTTCTGCTAGGGGAGCTATACAAACAATTACACTGAAGGAAGCGTGGGAGTTACTGCTTGTGCTACAGGTATAATACTAGCTGATCAGTTATTTTGGCACACCTGTAAAATAGCAGCAATAACCTGGGTGTACCACTTCCTAGAGAGTTACGCACTGTCAGTGCCACAGTGTCCTTTCCAAGTCCCAACCTCAGCAGATGCACCTCTCTGAGAAGAGCCTCCAAAATTCTGGGGGTGCGTTTCCCTCACCCCAGTTGTCTCTCTCCTTCAGGCTGCAAAACTGCAATCTGACGAGTGCCAGCTGTGAGACACTCTGCTCTGTCCTCAGCGCACAGCCATCCCTGACAGAGCTGCACATAGGTGGTAACAAACTGGGAACTGCTGGAGTGAAGGTGCTGTGTCAAGGCATGATGAACCCCAACTGTAAGCTGCAGAAACTGCAGTAAGTAGTCACTGGGCTTTTTTGGTCATCAGACAGGTCATGCTCATCTTTCCCTTGAGACAAGCAGGAGTTTTGTTGACAGATGTAGATTTCTTCCTGTTGTATCTAAAATTTTGTCATGCTCATTCATGCTGGTAGGTATCGTGGGTTTGTAAGAGCTGAGTGTCTTCCCATACGCTTTGTTTAGCCCTCCTGGGTGGTGGCTGTTAATACAGTTAGTACAAGGAGTGGCTGAGGGAACTGGGGGGGTTTAGTCTGGAGAAGAGGAGGCAGAGAGGGGGGATGAGTCTCTGGAGCCAAGGAGCCAGCGCCAGGCCCCGAGGCAATGGCCTCAAGCTGCCCAGGGCAGGGTCAGGCTGGCTCTGAGGAAGGATTTCTGTGCAGAAGGGGCTGTTGGGCGTTGGAATGGGCTGCCCAGGGCAGGGGGGGAGTCCCCGGGATCCCTGGAGGGGTTGAAGAGTCGGGCTGAGCCAGCGCTGAGCGATCTGGTGGGGTTGGGAACGGTCAGGGTGAGGTTTGTGGTTGGGCTGGAGGAGCTGCAAGGGCTTTTCCAACCCAGATGATTCTGTGATACAGGACCTATCAGACACACAGGGAAAGTCTGATTCTGCTGCACTTGGTCCTTTTTTTACGGCTGAGAGGACCTGGGTCTATTGGCAGCCTCCAGTCCCTCACAGGGAAGCTCAGTGGTGAGGCTGTGTGATGTTGCAATGCAAAAACCCAGTCATGTGTTCCAAGGCAGCCCATGCATTAGAATGGAGGACTAGTGTAAAAATGGGGTGGGTAATTAGTCTTGTTGGTCCCCTAGTGTCCAATTTAAGGATTAATGCTTCCTGAAATGAGCAGGGAGATGCTGTTAAAAAAATTACAGTTATCTCTGTTTTCACGTGTTGCTTGGTCTCAACTCACTTTGGCACGTTTTCTGCCCTGGCTAGCACACTTTGCCCATCTGTTGCCTTGTGGGTAGGGGGATGTGATGAAGACTGTTGCTTTTCCCCTGGACTTCTTTTCTTCTTGCAGGCTGGAGTATTGTGAACTCACAGCTGATTCTGTGGAAGCTCTCAATCCTGCTCTGCAAAGCAAGCCCACCCTGAAGGAGCTCCAGCTGAGTAACAACACGCTGGGAGATACAGCTGTAAAGCAGCTGTGCCGGGGATTGGTGGATGCGAGCTGCAACCTAGAGTTACTACAGTAAGGAAGAGCTGGTCATCTGTAACTGCAACTAGTCCTGCTGGTAGTCATACCGTCCATAAGACAGGAAAAATTATTGTCAGGAATACTTGAAATTTAGGCCAGAATTTTTGCTGGCTCAGATTTCTGTAACTGGAAACTGCAAGCAAATGCCCAGGGTTTCAGTTTTAGATTTTTTTTGACCTTTTCTTTAGCATGTTATTCTGAGCTCGCTCTTTTGCCTGTTGGTGCAGTGTGAGCATGTGCCCCAGGTTAAACCTGCAATTATAAGGTGTGACTGGTTGCCACTGTCTCAGAGCAGAGGAACAGTTGCCCTCAGTGGCTCCAGTTCTTACCCCTGAATTACCATCCAGCTGAGTATATTTATTCAGATCCCTTTTTGGCTTCAAAACAGAGATGCTGGATTTGGCCTCGTATCTTGGGTAAAGTCCCTGCTGGAGTTTAGGGGAGAAGCCAGATTCATTTTCATCTTGCCCCTGCTGTGCTTCAGCAGGGGTTGGCTGCCAGGGACTCAGTTGTGTGATACAGCCAAGAGCTCCTCTTAAAAGGAACAGTTTATATGAAGGGGGAGTTTGGCAAAAATGATCCTTGCATTAATGGGTGTGAGTGGGTGGGTCAGAGCAGAAGAGCCTTGCAGCCTTGGGGAGCGCAGGAGCAGTGTTGCTTCAGCCAGAGCCCATCTAGGACACTGTATCATCTCAGAGCCTTGCAGGGTCTTGCAATGCCCATCTGAGCTGCACTGGTTTGCAGCAAGGAACCAGCCCATAGACCCTTCTCAGTCTGAAGTGGCAGTGTTGGGGTGTATCTAACGCAGCGGGTCTGGAGCAGCAACTCCAACTGTGCTTTTTTCTGCAGCCTGGAGAACTGTGGCATAACCAGCGATAGCTGTCGAGAGATCAGCGCGGTTCTCAGTAACAAGTCATCACTGGTAGATCTTTCCGTGGGGGATAACAAGATCGGGGACTCCGGTATGGCTTTGCTGTGCCAAGGACTGATGCATCCTAACTGCAAAATCCAGAAGCTATGGTAAGGGTAGGCAAAGGTTACTTAAATCCCTCTTGCAGCCTCTGAGCTGTCTACTTGTGCTGCTGGTTTGCTCCGAAGCAGAAAGTTTCTCAGTTACACCCTCTAGTGAATGAAGAACGTCTCTACTGCAGATTAGTTACTTCTCAAAACTGGGTGGAGGACACCATGAATGAGCAGGACCACACTGAAATCGTTTGGTTCAAATTCTGAGGAGATGGGAAATGGAGATTTGTCTTGGCTTTCTGTTGAGTTATCTGTCTACTAGAGTTGCATGTTCCTATTTCTTTTTTGTGTTACAAACAAAGCTTTTGGTTCAATGGAGGGAAAGTAAGGAGAAAGCTGTGCTATATGATGCATGAAGGGGTTTTATAAAGGATAGAAAAAACCGAGATGATGTAACCATAAATTCAAAATACTAAAATAGGACTCTGTTTACTAATCTAAGTTGTTCTTGGGGGGAAAATAATATTTTGTTCTTCCCTGAAGGTTATGGGACTGTGATCTCACAAGTGCTAGCTGTAAAGATCTCTCCAGACTCATCAGTACAAAAGAGACCCTCAAAGAGATCAGTCTGCAAGACAATAACCTGAGAGACTCAGGGATGGAAATGCTGTGTGAGGCCCTCAAGGATCCCAGGTCTAAACTCCAGGAACTATGGTGAGCTGCTGTCAAGTTGTACATACCCCCTGCCCTGTCTTCTTTGTAGACCTCGCTGAAGGGAGATGTAGGTGAAGCAATGCCCACCAGATAGAGCCTCAGTTGTGGTGATTCCATGAACAACTCGTACCAGTCGTTACCTAAAGGATTTAGACTTAACAGAGCTAAAGGGATTTGTATTTCTAAACTCACAGAAACTTTGAAGATCTGCCCCATAGTCATCCTATTATAAGCAATAGGAGACCAAGCATCACTTGCAGAGCTTCTGCTTAATATATTTTATCGTGCAACAAATGGCAGCTAAGAGACTTTTGAAGTTTGAAAGGCCTCATGTAATAGCAAAATGAGTGCTGTGATCAGATATCTCGGGTTCTCCACTGGATCCATGCTCTCTCATTGATAAGCCAAAAGATGGCTTTAACGACATAAACCGTTCTCAATGTCCTCTCTGCTGACAACGTTACCTTTTAGGGTGGGATGGTCTGGTATCACATGGCCAGGAGAGGAAAAATTGTTCTTTCACGTAGAACTTGAACAAGCAACGCTTGAACTTTTCTACATTGCAAGTTCAGCTCCTGTCCCCAGCTGGGTTCTTCCCCTGCCCTGGAGGCCTGGGAGCTGATGAGGTGCCTCAGGAGCACACGATGGAGCTGGGAGTGACTGAGAGCAGCACGTTTTGTCTCTGATCATTCCTGTTCATTTATGGACAGGTGCCTTTCCTGGGTGCATGCTCCAAGACAGACATCCCAAATATAAAGAGTGAGAGAGGTGCTGCTTAGAAGTAACTGAGCAGATGGGGGCTTGAGAGCAGTACAGTGACTGTGGGAAGGTTTTCGTTCCTCCCTTCCCACTGTCTGGGCTCCTGTGAAGTAAATATGAAGACATGAATGGTGCCTGATACTCTCTAGATACCCCGTCTAGATCTCGTGTCACTTTTGCCTTGCAGGGTTAGGGAGTGCGGGCTCACGACTGCTTGCTGCAAGGCCATCAGCTCTGCTCTCAGCATGAACAAGCACTTGAAAATACTGTACATGGGCGAGAACAAGTTGGGAGATGAAGGTGCTGAACTCATTTGTGAAGGGCTGCTGCACCCCAACTGCAACCTCCAGTTCCTATGGTAAGGTGCACCCTCAGAAGTTCTTTTCTCTTGCTGGGTTACCCTTCCAAGAGCGGTGTGCAGAGAAAGGAAGGTAGCAACAGATGGTAGCATGGTATTTTTTTGCTCACATGAAACAATTCACACCACAAACTGATGTTTAACTAGTTCACTTGCAAGTAAATGGAAGCCGCAAGTGTTTCCATGTATCCTGTCACTCATGGTCTCTTGAAAGTACAGGCTGTGCCCCACGTGACGGTGTGTCCCTGGCCATCCACAGGTGCTCTCCCAAGTGCAGAACTGAAAGTTCATGGGGCAGTGTACCTTCAGGAGCTAAAGCAAAGTGTGGGAAGCTAGAGGGATCTTGCTTTGTTCTGTGAGCCACTCACTGTAGAGCTTCCCATGCCCATCCCTGAACTCACCCACAGGGACTCTCGCAGGTGAGATGGAGGAGCTGCTGGTCCAGGTCTGGTCTGTTAGTTCTTGTGCCTGCCAGTTGCAGTGCAAAGCCCAGTTGCCTCCTGTTTTCCACAACCTCTGTGGGTGCCAGCACCAGTGCCTGTCCAGCCCCACCAGTAGAAGCCCAGCTGGAGCATCACCTCCAGCCCAGTGGTGGGACTCGCCTCCTCCATCTGCCTGTTCCCTTCCCAGGCGAGCGCCAGGCTCTGGAGTGGCGTGGCTGTGGCCTGCGTGATGCTCAGGGCACCATGCTTGTCTCCTCCTGTGGCTTGCATGATGCTCAGGGCACTGTGCTTGTCTCCTCCATGCCTTTTGAGAGAAGCTGGAGCTGTGCTCTGATATCCGAGACTCACAGTGAGTGAGTTGAGCAGATGGATCATGGGAGACAGCAGAAAGACTTTGAAGTCTGCCCAGAAAGATATGTTTGCTGACCAGTTAAAGCTACTTGGCTCTCAGCTGAGAGGCCTCAGTTATCCTTTTTAGAGAGGTGCTTGCAAGTCTCAAGTAATAAACTTAGACTTACAGAGCTAAAGGGATTTGTATTTCTAAACTCATAGACACTTTGAAGATCTGCCCCATAGTCATCCTATTATAAGCAGTAGGAGACCAAGCATCATTTGCAGAGCTTCTGCCTAATCTATTTTATTGTGCAACAAATCATTTATGATCAGTTTAAACCGAAGTTATGCATGGTGTTGAAATAGGGAATGTCTTCTTTGGGTTCCTTTTCCCCCTGTAGCCACAGACCATTAAGCTTTAGGGAGGACTTTGAGGTGTTCAGCAGTCACCACGAGGACAAACTGCCTCTGTTGGCAGACCATGGACCAGCCCCTGCTGTTGTCTCAGAGATGGCAGCCTAACAGGGGTCTCTGGTCCGTGCTGGGGATGTCTGTGCCTGCTGCCCAAGGGTGGAGAGACAGAATGGGACTGATCCAAGGCTTCTCGGGGAAAATCTTTGAAACCCAGGTGGGATAAGGAGTGAAAATCAGATGAGGGAGGAAGGAGAGCCCTAGAGGATGATGTTATACCTCCTTTCTCACCTCCCTCCACAGTTCTCAGCCCTGTGATCTCCACATAATTTAGCACCGTGTTCTGAAAAAGAGAACCACTTCTGCTTTTCACATGGCTCCTTGCCTCTAAGTGTTTAAGGCACCTTTAGGCTCCTGGATTTTTAAGCCTGGCAGTCCTGGAAACATATGGGATGGAACTGGCATAGCTGAGACTATAGATCTAGCTCCAGTAGTGCATGCAAAGACACTGCTGACATACAGCTGC